GCTATGCTAGGGCCTTCAGCATTGGCATGGAGCATAACTGTGCTGGTGGCTGGGGAGGCTCTCAAGAAAATGCTCATTTATAGAGGCAGTTTCATACCAAAATTAACCCCAAGTCTGTCTTTTATTACTGAATATCATCTGAATCAGACTACTAAAACAGTAAACAGGTGTTATTAACAAACATGAATCTGTGCGTACAGCAGGCACATGTTCTGTCATCCTTATTCTGTCAGCTCTGAAACACAACCCGTACGTGCCGACATGCACAAGTGTGGAAATCTGTGCCACTGCTGATTTTTCTAGGAAATCGTTATTCAAGTAACGTTATCTGTCTAGCCTCCAAAGTAAACTACAGTAACATAGGTGATTAACCTCTGTGTTGTCTGTACGGTTATTTTTATCATTTTAGGAAAGAGCACTGCTCTTTAGAGGTGATGAAACTCTGAAGCTGAAATGTTGACTCAAAACTTTATTTTTTAGATACATTTTTTGTTTATTTTGTGATCAATAAAAGGAGTGTGTTTAGCTACCAAGTCATTTTTCCTAGAACTGTGTTAATAACCTCCCTGTGTTTGTCTGGTCATGTCAGGGTTTGGTGTATACTATGACAGATGTGGAAGAAGTACACCTCTGGATGGTGAAGCACTTCACTGAACATCCACTATTTACGCGTGTCCCCGAGGAAGAACTGGTATGTTGACGTTCAGCTTGTCATCCCTGTGTTTGCAGGTCATGATTTGTTGTGCATTTGCTCATGATCTGAATTTTTTTTAAACAATAGTTCCACGTTTTCACTTTCTTAGTTACATTAGAAAATGAATAAAATTCTAGTTTGCTTAGTTGGCTGAATATGATGCTGCAGCCAGCAGCCGATAAGCCTAGTTTATACAGCATTCATGCCCTGTTGGAAAAGGTTTGATACCACTCTTATAGCTGTGTGTTAAGTATGAAGATACCTCCAGCAGTCGGATAATTTAGCTTAGCATAAAGAATGGAAACAAGTAATGGTTACAAATTAACACATTAAATCCTGTTTGTTTAATCTGCCTTACATGGGATTATGTACACATTTCTTGGCCGGACCAGGAACTTCCTGGAGTCTTCGCTTGTTGCGTGGCAACTGGTTTGGCTAAGCTAAGTTCGCCAGGTGCAAGTGGCAGCTTCATATTTACTGCACAGACATGAGAGTGCTATTACCGTATTTCCCTGAAGGTGGTAATATTCCTTTGAATAGTTGTATATTGAAGAATGACAGAATAAGAGTGGGGATGGTGGATTAACTGACCTCCAGTCAGACTTTGTATACTATTATAAACACTATGGCGTTGATGATTTTTAAGTTAATGAAGAGTGTGAATGACCTGTCTCAAATATCTTAATCCTGTGCTGTAATTGTGTTCGATCATATTTTGGCAGGTTGGGGATGTCATTATAAGTCGTTTGGGTACCTGTACAGAGGAAGGAAAGAAAGTCCAGAGAAATGGAGGGAAGAATTTCCTGGCAGTTTTCCAAAGGGTTGAAGATTTAAACTAAGACCGTTTGGAGAGAACAGTTCGGACATGTGATGAAGGGAACTAATGGTCTCATGCAGTCGTCTATACGTGGAGGATAATGCTGCACGGTGGAGCTGGAGACTGCGGCTGGTTCCCCCAGCAGATGAACAATTTTTCTAACATGACAGAAGTTTTGGGTTTCAGTTTTTTCACATTATTTATGTATTATGCATTCCTCAGCTCACAAAGACGGCATGAAAAGGATCTTGATTCAGACTCGACTTTGGAAGTGTTTTGCTCCGCTTTTTTAAAGATTCATTTTTAAAAATCTTTTGACACCCTCTTAATTGCTGTTCTTGATTTCCTGTAAAGCTGTTAATTCTTTTAGTAAAACAAAACGTCTGTGTTTGGTTTGGATCATTGTAGCCGTTATGTTGTGCTTTGTGTTGCTCTTATTTTTAACTTAAGTCCTTTGACTTGACTTGAAGAGGAGTTTTAGTTTTTCTGAGCACAGCTATCCAGATATATTTTAATCTGATCTAATCACGTTACATAAAGCAGGGCCCTGGTGTTGGAGTATTATTTTGAAAACTCTTTGAAATCATGAACGATTCTCTCCATTGATATAACTTTGTTGGCCTCATGGTGGTAATTCACAGTATTGGCAGATGAATCCGAAATGAATTAGACTGAGAAGTCTACCACTAGCTTGTTTGCTGTGGGTTAAAAATAAACCTGCATGCTGCAGCGTGTTCTGTAAGAAGTGAATGCAGCAGAGCGTTCAAATTGTGAAGACTGTGACAGAATCGTGTTTGAAATCCTTTCTGCCTTTCTGACAAATGTTTTTATGAGAACTTCTTTAATTAATACCTGTAGACTTGAAGACATTTTTAGATTACCCGTAGTTCTTTGTAATGTAATTCAGTGATTTAACTCAATTGGACCACAGCTGGTGTTGCTCCTACATGTCATATAAAAAAGACGCATTATCTTCATCTACTAGACGTATCTGCTGGGGACCAAATCAAAGGATTTAACAGAAACAGTGGTTTTCTGTGCTCAGGATTTCATCTGTATATTACAGGTTGGTATTTTTGTCTTGTCAGGAGTTTGGAAACGGGACAGTGCAGGTTTGAGGCCCTTTTGCTGCTGCAGGAGGTGGTGATTAAGAACAGGACAGTACATGCCTCAGTGATGGAAACCCAGACACTGGAAAACTTTAGATGATCGCACAGAGTAATTGAAGTAAAAGTCATACAATTAATAGAAAACATTTCACATTTGTGTCCTTTGCTAAGGTTATTGGTGTTCTGGCATTAATTGGCTGTATTTGTCTTTCAGAAACCTTTTGCCAAATCTTAAAGTCCATCTGTGAACAGATGATGAATATGTAACATACAGCTCTCATACAGAAGCGTATGCTCAGAGCCTTGACACTGAGTGCTTCTGCTCCAGGGTAAACGGCACCAGGTTATGATGAAATAGTTGAAGCTTTTAATAGTGAAGCAATATCTCGGGTTATCTGTACCTAAGGAAAGCATATTCACTGATCCACGGGCAATCATTTATTTAACAAAAATGTTTTTCATTTAGATATATGATAAATGTTTCCTGTACAGCATTAATCATGAAATGAGAAATAGTCTTAACTAAAAGAATAAAGCAGCCTTGTATATTTGCCTTATGGCACATTATGAAGCTTAGTATATTTTATTTTTATAATATTGTTCATCATACAGTCAAAGGGAGGTTACTGTAAAATCTCTAAAAACTATTGACACAAGGCCCACTTACTTGGATTTTCCAAAGCTTTCAGCCACATCTCATGGCCTTCCCTAACAGCAGAGCAACCCCATCTGCAGATGAGGACCATGAGATGTGGCTTCTAAATTTCCAAGTAAGTGGACCTTGTGTTGAAAATTATTTGCCAAACTGCCATTTCCAACTTGACCTTCAAGCTCAAATCTCTGACTCATTCCTCATATGCTTTGATATATACAGCAAGAATTTCTTGGTGAGAAAATGTTAACCAGTCTAGTCCATCAAATTTGATGTTGTCAAGGTGCTGCTGTTCTGTTATCACTTATTATTGCCATGTGTAACAAAGCCATTTGAGCCAGCCAAAGTACATCACTTAACATTTTAGTACCATCAGGTCATCAGACATGAGATTAATTAAACACGCTGCAGGGGAATCAAAGAAAGAGAAACTTAATGATTAGCATTTGGCAATACTAGTAAAGCAATGTGGATGTTCCCTTTGCTTCATACCCAAAGAATTTGTTGCATCTGGATGTCAGAATGTTATTGAGGTCAAAGGTTAATCCCCCTCCGAATGTATTTACAGAGGCAGCTGTCCACTGTCATAAGTTATAACATACAAGGACGTGTTAAAACTTTAGTCTGATTTTCATTGTTCTCCTCGGCCCGTTTCATCACTGTAAAGTGCCAATGATTTGGTCAGTACACAGATAAAACAATATAGTTTGACAGTCTGAGAAATGCTTTCTTGCGAATATTACATGAGGAGATCGATACCACTCTCTTTGTCTGTACGGTAAATATGAAACAACAGCAAGTGTTGACCTATCATAATGTCACTCATTGGTTAGTGGAGTACCAGCATTATGCCCGTTCCCATGTTAATTTGTTGCAGCTAGCAGCAGAGACGTACTGCGAGTTGAGCCGCACACATTGGCTGCTCTTGGTTTCAACTTGTCCATTGCCTGGTCACACGTGTTCTCATATTACAGATAAACCGTACACTAAAATATGTGAAATATTTCAAATAAAATAAAATAAATAGAGAATTTTGATTCATGTTTGATCAGCACTCGCTAGTTTCACACTTTATGTGCGTCGTGCTGGTCAGAGTACGGAGAATGACTCTGTTTTGCTCTAAAAAATTATTCATTATACAAAATGATCACGCTGTATGGAAGATGACTTGAAACTAACGAGTAAGACCATAAACTGATCAGGAAACTGTTTACTGAGCTAATAAATCAAGTGACAAGTAGAGTCATTTATCCATAAGACTTAATACAATCAGACTTTTTTTTGCATGCAGCTGCCCCCTGCTGGTCATTAGAAAGAATGCACTTTAAGATACTTCAACATTGACTTCACCTTCCGCTGGCCACTAACTATATACTGTCAATGAGCTACAGCCAGCAGCTTAGCTTAGCTTAGCATAGCGACTGGGTAACAGCTGGCTAGCAAGGTAACAAAGTACGCTGACCAGCAGCCTGCAGTTGTAAGGTTGGGTTATGTGGGGCGCCAGCAAGGGGGTCATCATGAGTCACATAAACATAATAAGCTTCTGAGTAATGAGTACTGTACTGTTTTTCCCATGAAATAACAAATGAGTAGCCAACTGATTTGACGTCCATCCACGAATGTGTGAATTTCACAAAATGTTGAACTATTCCTTTTATAATGCTTCATCTTCCTCGGTCCTCATTCTCCCAGACATTTTCAAAGCTTTTAATGCTGACTCCAACGCAATCCAACAAGAGGATCTCTGGATGTCTACAGTTACTGTTTCCATTCCACATGAACTCATCATGAAGAAGGTCTCTGATCTGATCTTCTTCCTACATTCATAATAACATCACACAACATTTCCTACTCCTTGCCAAGTCACTGGCAGTCTTTTCCTTCCTAATAATCAGGTTGAGGCGTGCATTTCTGCTGCCTGGTTGATGTCTCCAGCTGGATGTCTGCCCACCACCTCAAGCTCAGCAAAACCCAACTGAGCTGCTGTACTTCCACAGAAAATCCTGACTCATTTCTTCCCACAGCATTAACAATAATGTTGAGATTCTACACAACCACATCACACAAAATCTCAGGATAGCATCAAATCCTTCCTCACTTGCGACTCTCTGGTCTGGACTAATGAAAGACCTCAACTGACCTGAGTTTCTGCCCTACCAGCCTACATAACAATGAGTAACACATTTTGACTGGAGAAGACTTTAAGAAGGCAAACTTTGAATAGTAACACCTTGTTGTTCATTTATTTGTCCCATTTCTAATGATACTTCAGTTTTGTAAGATCATAAGTTAAGACTATCATAAGACTAAAAGTCCAAAGGCAGAGATGTTTGGCACTCAACTATTATCCAAACAGCCCAAGTCCCTTATCTCAGTTTTTATAGTTAGATGATTAACCCGACCCACTCAGTGGGGTCATTATCAAATACAGAAACTTTACACTTATCTTCATCAAGTCCATTGTTGTGCCACCACCACATGTAAGTGATAAATATTAAGAAATGTGATCTGTCCAAACCTTTCAAAGTAAGCTTTGCTGCTGATGGAGACCAGCAATTATTCTGAAGCGGAGAGCAGCTGCAACTCTCTCAGCCTCTCTAACTGTTTACATCTGTTGCCCATGACATCATGACTGCTTCATTATTTAAGTCTGCTTGCATAATATAAGCAAAATTTGACGCAGTGCCACATGGTCACCAGTCATGTCTGGAGCGCTGCATGCTTGCTATAGGTTAGGCTGAATCTGTACTTTGTCTTCTTGATAATAGACAAAAGTCTGTAGCACTCTGTAGCAGTTTGTCTCTTCTACAACTCTACATGGATCCCTGTTTGATTTGTTCAGGACAAGATTTCTTCAGAACTAACTGCCACATTATTAATATTAATTCTTCCTCAATTAATTCATCTTAAAAGAATAGTTAATTCGAAAGCACTTTTCATGATGTGAGTTAGATGAGAAGATTGATATCACTTATGTCTGTGCAATTAAAATGCAGCTTAAATTGGCACAAACACAGTCTTGTTTGTTTAATCTGTGTAAAAAGTCATTATGCTTTGGTTTTTGTATGAATTAAACAAGCAACATATAATACTGGTGAGCTTTAGCAGGCTGCTACCTTTGCATTAAGCCCACTGGTTCCAGTCTTTGTGCTAAGCTAAGTTAACTGTCTGATGGCTGTATCAGCAAGAAAGTAAAAGAAAATTTAAAAAAAAGAATAGATTTTCCCTAGGCACTTTGTTTTCTGACACCGTTACAGCAGAAGTTCAATTTGAGAAGAAGAGTTCAGAGTTCAAAAGAAGCAATTCAGTTTACAAATTACCAGGAAGCTAATGCACATTCTTGCTCCCAAGAGAATAAAGCTTTTCATTTTGGACTCTCCACTTGCCTTCTTCTGACGCCTGTCTCAAGCCAAAATGTTAACTTTGCACATAAGATATCTCGTAGGGAGGCTGAGCTCATTTAAGTTCCCAAAGGCCTTTTGTAATTAATTATTTCATGGATTTCCTCGTGCCATTCTAGGGAACGTATTTTACAGTGTTATTGCCATTACTGTTTATACCATTCAAATGGCAAAATCATTAGTGTTGTTTCTTCCATCTGATATTTTCTTATATTTTGATGCATAAGGAACAATTACAGCC